TATCTTTAGCACTAGAGAAGTGCATGGACTCGGCCACAATCATTACCCCACTATTCTGTGTGGTAATACGGTCATCCTTTGACTTTGTATAAAAAGAAGTTTTATTAATATCATATTCACTCCAAGTTATTATGTTACATTTAGGCCCAAAAGACAACCACTTAATTGTATTAGAATCACTATCTTCATTAGCAATTCTTTCTTTAAACCACTCAGAGAAACTCTTATTATGCTCTTTTAACAACCCTCTTTCATTCATCTTGGGGTACTTTTTCTTTATGATGCTTTTGTGAGCAGATAAGTAAGGTTGAACTTCATCTATGTTATTCAATATATACAAATGCTCTTGAACAACCACATCAATACTTAAGCTCTTGACCTTTAAACCTTGTGTATCCACACCCTCATATCTTCCATCATGACGAGACTTGGGAACCCCTACAGCATCCAATCCTGACAAATAGTTAGAACAAAACTCAATTGCTTCTTCTGCAATGTACCTCTCAATAATCGATGCTTCTGGACGGTGTGGGTTTTTTGTATACCCTTTTAGGATCTTCATGTATCGCTCTATTGGATACATCCACCGTAAAAAAATTGGACCACATAATCTAATTTCTCTTACTAGATGAACAATTAAGTGAACCATAATGTCAAAAAATGAAGGAGGAAAATACATCTCTAATTGGTACAAGATAACTGCAGCCTCATTTTCCAAATCGTCTAACTTTAATGGATCAATGGCTTTACAACAAATTGCATTGAAAAATAAGCACAACCTAGTTATAGTCTTCCTAACGTTGTTAGGCAATATCCCACGAATAGCCAATGGTAGTAGTTGTTGCATTAAGACATGACTGTCGTGAGATTTTAAGCCAACTAATTTAAGATCTTTAATTGATACAAGCCTCTTGACATTTGATGAGTAACCATGTGGCACTTTGATACTTTGTAAACACTCACAAAAACTTGTTTTCTCTTTTTTAGACATATTGTAGCAGGCAGGAGGCAAATATGTCTTGTTACCTATATATTATGGAGTTAACTCTTCTCGTATACCCATCAAACCTAAATCCAGACGAGCATTAATAGCATCTTTTGTCTTGCCTTGAATGTTGAGAAGTGTTCCGATTACACTATCACATACATTTTTCTCCACGTGCATCACATCAATACAATGTCTTACATCAAGACTAGACCAATATGGAAGATCGAAGAAAATCGATCTCTTTTTCCATACATTTTTCACAGTAGATCGTTTTTTGTACTTTCCAAAGACAAAATCTAGTCCCTATTGTCACTGATAAACTTCCTTTCCAGACAAGGGCTTTGGAGCAACACCATGCTCTTGTTCCCCATTGAAAGCTTTCCGCAATCTACGATATGGATGATAACATTTTAGAAATTTTCGATGCACGAGATAAACTGTCTTCTTTCCTTTTTCAAGCTGATGGTAACATGTGTCTTTTTCACATATAGGACACGCCTTATGCCCTTTAACTTTATACCCAAACAAATTACCATATGCCGGAAAATCGTTGACGATGCAAAACAACATGGCACTCATATTGAACTGTTCGCCAAAATACGCATAAAAAACATCCACCCCTTCCTCCCACAACACTCTTAAATCATCAATCAGTGGACTTAGATAAACGTCTATGTCATTTCCTGATTGTTTTGGGCCCGATATCATGATTGATAACATAATATATTTACGCTTCATGCACATCCTAGGAGATAGGTTGTAAATCATCAGGAGAACAGACCAAGAACTATGATTAGTACTCAGATTACCAAACAGATTCATTCCATCAGTAGCAAGTCCAAGTCTAAGGTTTCTCGACTCTTTGCCAAAATTTGGAAACAAAGAATCTATTTTCTTCCATTGCAAAGAATCAGCTACATGACGAATTTGTCCATCATATTTTCTTTCTTCTGAATGCCATCTAAGATTCTTTGCATCATCTGCATTGGGGAATAATCTCTTGAACCTTGAAATTATTGGTAGGTACCATACCACTTTCGCAGGAGGACCCTTTTTGACCACCTCATCATCAATTGATTCACCATCTTTCTTTTTGTAGCGTGATGCCTTGCACTTCGGACAATGATTATAATTTACATACTCTTTTCTGTATAATATGCAATCATTAGGGCATGTATGTATCTTTTCATATTCCAAACCCATCAGACACAATATCTTCTTCGCCTCGTGATAACGACTTGGCATTACATTACCTTCTGGAAGCATTTCGGTCAACAATTCAAGTAACTCGGTAAAACTTTTGTCAGTCCACCCATTCTTTGCCTTTATATTAAATAATTTTAACACGGTTGACAGACGTGTAAATTTTTTGTATCCCAGGTACAATGGTTTATCCTTGTCACTGCATAGAGTATCATACACATGTGCCCTCTTAAACGAATCTTGTCCAATATCACGTTCATGTCTTCTAGACGATCATCCATTTCTACACTAAAATCATCTCTTTGAGACACATATGACTTTGCTAATACTTCACTGTGCCATATCCATTATGTATAACTTTGACAAATCCATACACAAATTAGATGATTCATGATTTCTTTCTTACTACGTTTTGGTTCTTTATTTGCACAACAAACACATGGACAGAGAAAAAGCGCAGGAAGACTTTTTTCAGCATTACCTTCAGCAAACTGTAGAAATTCCATCACTCCATGTTCGTACTCGTCACTTAATCGATTAGCTCTCATCCAACTACGACCCATAACTATGTTCACACGGAGGAAGGTCTGACGAAGGGTGTGCCCGCGGCTGCGCTACTTCACGGAGATTTTGAGATCGCAAGTTGCGCTGCTTCGCGGAGAAAGAAAAATAGAATCAAATTTCAATAGCAAGGTGATAACTCTATTAAGTTTGATAGGTTAAAGATAAACTGTGTGTTTCTGAGAGGATCATTAACGTTTCATTCGGAGGTTTCTAAGGAGACAATTTCTCTAATGAAAAAGAATGACATATACACAACATGTACTATATTCTTAACTCTATACAAAATATATACTATTTATAACTAATTAGACTTAATAAACTCTCTAAGAATAATAAACTGTTTAGTAATTAAAAAACAGATATGAACAAAGGAATGGATTCACCAAGCCACTGAGTTAGTATCTAGTATAATCTTCTAATTGGTTTTATATGTACTTCCAATTATTTTATAATGTATCTCAGTAGCAAGCGAAACAACAAGAATATATTAAAAACATTTTTGTATATATATCTCTCTCTTAGAAATCCATAGATATACAATGAAGTTGAACAAAATAGAAAATTTCTTACCGGAATCGTAGTTCAACGGTATAGGGGGTTTTAAAAAAGGCGGAGGGGGTTTCTTACCGAAACCGTCTCGTGAACGGAGGGAAAGGGTGGCGGAGGAGACAGACGGAAATGGACGGCGATAGAGACAGACGAAGGGCGTTCGTAGACGGACGGAGATGGCCGGAGACGGACGGAGACGGAGCGGTGGGCGGAGAGAACGGGCGGTGTTGGCGGACGGTGTTGGCCGGCGGTGGATACATATCTCGTTCGTGGGATTCTGTTTTGAAGAAGAGTCAATAACTAAATGAATAGCAGCAGGGTTTATTTCATAAATATATATTAAACTTTTCACATCGGTGGATTCAAATAACCGATGTAATATATATTTCGGTTCTACTTTTTACATTGGTGGAAGTTATTGACCGATGTAATGATTGTTTTATATATCGGTGGAAGTCAATGAGCGATGTAAGGATTTTCTGATCTTTTACATCGGTGGAACGCAAGGCCCGATGTAAGGGTTTTCTGTTTTTTTTCTTCCAATTTGCCACCTAGTTATTTATTTACAATACTGCCACCGTATTTTTTTTATAAAACCTTTTACATCGGTTTTTACTTTGACCGATGTAATAGCCAGCGAAATTTTTTTATAAATATTTTTTATATCATTGCAAATAAATACCTGATGTAAAATCTTTTTAATTTTATTTTTTACATCATATATTTTAATACCTGATGTAAAGTTCTTTTCTCAAATGTCATTTTTTTAGTAGTGTCATATACTCTTGTGTTAGAGCATTGTGACAAATAATTAAATATTTGATATGGAGAGTATGAGTGTACTAAGAATTGTGGGGGTGGTTGAAGATATTTTATGTGTTGTATTAAGAGCCTTAAAATTTTAGATGGAGATGTGACGTCTCCCTTTCTTATGACCCTAAAATATTGATTGTGTTTCAAACTTTTTTGAATTCCTCGATAAATAGTATTAGAACCTGATTTGGCTATGTGGGGAACAAGAAGTAGGTTTTGTGTTAAATGTTGTTATAGCATTTGAAAAACTCATACTTACAAAGAAGATTGAATGTGAGTGACAAAATTTCACATTGTCGATGAATGAATGAATATTAAATTTATAAAAGAAATGATTAATGTATCTTGCATACTTAGATCACATATCACAATATAATAAAATAATATTTTTTTTATAATAATATATAGATGTGGTGGTAAATACTATAAAAAAAAATTAAACATTCAATTTCGAGGTTTTAATTTAGAACTTAAGTGAATGTGTCGCTCCTAAGTCCTAGCAAATATTTTATGTTACATATGATTCATAAATTTTTCATATTAGTCAATCCTGGCAATCCTAGACATTTGTGTGATATTTAGATTCTCTTAATGCGCATTTTACATTATGCTGAATGAAATTGCCTCCAAATGTAATTGATCATTCACAAAAGTAGAAATCTCAAACATTACTAAACATATATTATTTCCAAAAATATTTTGTTAACCAGATGCACCAGATTTCCTAATGTTGTACTAGTTTATAGCAACCTTGGTCCAACATCACAAGAATTTTCTAAAAAAGAAATATTCTTAATGAATATTCATATATAGCTTTTAAAATAGTTAGAAAATAACAGATGAGTGGTACTATCTAGCAGAAGAAGATTGGTGTCGTTTGGCCTTATTTCTCTCGAGTCTCAAAATCTGAAACCTTCTCAAAATTGTTGGCAAGATGAATTCTTTGCTCTGTATTGGAAGTGTTGACTGAACTTTTGATGAAATCATTCACTTTCGTTGGCTTATTAATTTCTAAATTGGGATTTTTGTATTCACCTTTGGGACCATTAATATTTAGCTGTAAAAATAACTATTTTCATAAATAAATATAAAAAACAGGATTGGCCCCACCATAAATGTAAAACAAAAAAATAAGATGGATCTTATAAATAAATTAAAGATAAGAAAAGTAATCCAATCCAAGAAACCAAAAAAAATTAAAGTAGATAAAATTTTGTGAAAAAATAGAAAATTAATTATTAGCAATAACAACTCATACCTCTTTTTGTTTTGCTTTCAATTTAGAATTGAAGACCTTCAATTCTTCGCATTGACGGTTCACATTTGATATCTCCTATTTTCATTTCAAACATCAACAAAAACGCAATTGACGAAAATTATAATGATTAATCAATTAAAAAATAAACATACTTGAGTGGTGGAATCCTTGGTTTTGGTAAAATCTTGGATAATACTAAGATAGTAATACTTTCTTCTGTTGACACAAAACAAAAAATCACCCGAAATTCAGAAAAGAACAAATAAAATATATAACTACTGGTACTTCTTCCACAGAAAGAAATCATTAAAATAAAATTAAAAAACAAAAAAAAGAAAGAAAAAGAAAGTCATTAATAAAGAGAAGTTAAGATAGAGAGAGAAATTTACCCTTTTGAAACAAGTTCTTCTTTCTGAATGTTTGGGTTTCTCATTTGTTTCAGTGGCTGGAAATGAAAGAGGTAGTTGGACTTGATACTTTTGTTGTTCTCATTATGATATCACTAATATAAAATTTAGGCTAAAGGTCTTTTACCTCTTAAAAAATATATATTAAATGGGTTTTAAATTCTTGTCTTTCTATTTGTAAGTCATGCACTCAACTACTACACTATTATATTATGTATTTCAATTTGTATATTACTCATCTCTCTTTCATTTTTAACAGATGACTAATATTTCTATCAGTAACTCATGTCTCTTGTATAGTTTTGAAACTTCAGAAACAACAATATGGAGTTAAGTTTCTTATTTCTACTGCATCTTAATTTTTTATATGATTAGAAATCAAACTCAGTATCCGGGTTTTACAATGCTCAAACATCCTGCACACCAACCACTTGCGCTATACTCCATTGGTATCTCATAGCTGCGGTGAAAAGTTTAAACTAGCCCGAACTTCTACTTTTGACATTGGTGTCATAATAAAGAATCATTTCTCTAATGAAACAACAATAGAAGATATGAGTTTAGGGAAAATTATCCATCATGCAACAAGATGTATGTTGGGTGGCAGTTTGACGTTCCCACTTTTCGATTTGAACCATTTTTTCGTCTACGTGTTACAAGACTTCATTACATCCAGGAGAAAATTTTAAGTTTTCTTCTTGAGTTCGTCATTCTTTATAGAGACAAAACTAGAGCTTCTATTTTCTTTTTTAATATTTTTGAAGATTTCTACATTCCATTCCAAGATAGGTAAGTTAGAATATGATACTTTTACTATAGTTTTGTCTGCAAGTTCATATAGGTAGTTGTGTGTGCTTGTCGTCCCGTGTTCTAGAATCTATGGTTAGGTCAATAAATATAACACATCTTTCAATATTAATGGTGTTTGAGGATTCTACTCTATTTTCATTGTGATGTTCTTTAATTTTGTCACGAGTTAGCAGATTATTACTGTGGCATGCCATTTCATTATTTACTTTCTATTGTTAAGTTTGGTTTATCTTTTCTTTTTTTTCTCTTGGATTTGGTTTCACTATCACATTCTACTTATGGTTGATTTGGGATATTAATTTGATCGAAATCCGTCTAGATCACAACTCTTTTACGTTTACTAAAGTTTAGCCTAATACCTCTCACAAACAGAAAACAAAGAACACAACCCCCACTTTTTACAAATACTTGTTGGAAATCCACCTAATACTATGATGAATTTCGACCACAATGATGATTAGTTATGAGAAAAACAAATAAAAGAAGACAAGATAAATATTTCTGCAGAATTTCTCTCTGCACACAAACTGTGGAAAAACTTTCTTAATCACTTGCAACTGCAAATTCTGTGATTACAATGAATTGTCTTGCTTGACTTGCTTTCAAAATAGGGGTTACTCCCTCTATTTATAACTGAGCTTACACCCTAAGCCCAAGGTCCAAAATATATTTTTGTTACTAAATCAAATCTAATCAAATTTATTCTAGACTTAAATCAAATCTATTTAAATCTAAAACAAATCAAATCTTCTTTGACACATATGAATTACAATTTAACACACCACCTAATTCATTGTATCTAAACTGTCTATGTTCATCATGGCCCTTAGCTTTCTGAATACTTCGACTTGCACTCCCTTCGTCATGATGTCTGTAATCTGATTCTCAGTTCTGCAGTGTTCCAAATTCATCTTCCCATCTGCTACCTGCTCTCGAAGATAATGGAACCTCATTTCGATGTGCTTACTTCGACCATGTGCTATTGGTTTCTTTGCCAGATTAATAGCTGACATGTTGTCTATCTTCATGGTAATTGCTCCATGATCTTTCCCTGTTATCACTTCGACCAAGTTCACCATCCAGGTTGCTTGACATGCACAAAGAGAAGCATCTATGTATTCTGCTTCGCATGATGATAATGCCACTACTGGTTCTTTTCTCGAATTCCAAGCAATTGGTGCACCACCTAGCATAAACACATATCCTGCTGTTGACTTTCGATCTTCAGCATCACTACACCAACTCGAATCAGTGTATCCCACTAACTTGCATTCTTTTCCTTTATCAACTGCAGGAAACAAAATGCCATAATCAAAAGTTCCTTTGAGATACCTTAGTATCCTCTTAACTACTACTAGATGTGATACCTTTGGCTTCTGCATGAATCTACTTACCATACCTACACTGTATGCTAAGCCAGGCCTTGTATGACAAAGATATCTTAATGATCCAATAAGTCTTCTGTATTGGGTTAGATCAACATCATCTTCATCTGCATCTTTCGACAGTTGCAGTCTTGGTTCTGCAGGTGTCGAAGTTGAGTTGCATTCTTCCATCTCAAACCTCTTGAGAATTTCTCCTGCATATCTTCTTTGATGCATCATCAAACCTCTACTGCTCTTGTAGAATTCGATACCAAGGAAATATGAAATCTCACCCAAATCAGACATTTCGAATTCCTTGCTGAGATCACCTTTGAAGTTTTCAATCTCACTTTTACAGCTACCTGTTATCAACAAATCATCTACATAGAGACATAGTATAAGCAATTTACTCTTGCTTCTTCTTACATATACTCCATGTTCAGTTGTGCACTTCACAAATTCCTTCTCCCTTGGAAAACTATCAATTTTCTTATTCCAAGCCCTTGGAGCTTGTTTCAATCCATACAGGGCTTTATGTAGCTTGTACACCTTTCTTTCTTCGTCATGTTTCACAAATCCAACTGGTTGTTTAACATAGACTTCTTCATCTAAGGGTCCATTTAGGAATGCACACTTCACGTCCATATGACATATGTGCCAACTGTTTATTTCTGTTAGACCAACAACCAACCTGATTGTTTCGATCCTAGCAACAGGTGCAAAAACTTCATCGAAGTCTATTCCTTCTTTCTGTAGAAATCCTTTCACCACAAGTCTTGCTTTGTGTCGAGTTACTTCACCTTTCGAATTCGTTTTCACTTTGTATACCCACTTGACATCAATTGCCTTCTTGCCTTGAGGCAATTCAACAAGTGACCAAGTGTTGTTGTCTTCGATAGACTTTACTTCTTTGTTCATTGCTTTCACCCACTTCGAGTCCTTTAATGCTTCAGCTGCATTAACGGGTTCAACATCTGCATAGAAAGCATAATGTACCAGCTCACCTTCATTATCTATTACATCATCTGATGTAATCACACAATCTTGAAATCTTGCAGGCATGCGTCTTGTTATTTGAGGCCTGCTTGTACTTGGTATATTTGCTGGTTCCTCTTGTCGAACTTCTCTTTCGACTTGAGTTTCTGGCTCTTCAAGAAGGATTCCCACTGAATCTTTCTTGATATTTTCAGTCCAATCCCATTCTTTAAACTCATATGTGATCACGTCTCTGCTGATCATAATCTGCTTTTTCATTGGATCGAACAACTTGTAGCCTCCTGTCGAATGATATTCAACTAGAATCATTTGACTTGACTTATCATCAAGTTTTCTTCTCAACTAATCTGGCACATGTCTATGTGCAATAGATCCAAATACCTTCATATGACTCAAGCTAGGCTTCACACCAGACCAACATTCTTCTGGAGTAATTCCTTCTAGCTTCTTTGTAGGACATCTGTTCAAAATGTATGTTGCAGTCGAAACAGCTTCACCCCAAAACTCTTTAGGTAAATTCTTGCCTTTCAACATACTTCTCACCATATTCATGATGGTTCGATTTTTCCTTTCTGCAATTCCATTTTGTTGTGGAGTATACGGTGGCACTACCTCATGCACAATCCCTTCCTTTTCACATAATTTGTCGAAGTCTTTCGACACATATTCTCCACCACCATCAGTTCTCAAAACTTTGAGTTTTTGACCACTTTGTCTTTCGACCATAGACTTAAACTTGGTAAATACTTCGATCACTTCACTTTTCTTCTTGATCGGGTAAGTCCATAGCTTTCGACTGAAATCATCTAAGAATGTAACAAAATATTTGTTACCTCCCATCGAATCAACCTGGATTGATCCACATACATCAGAGTATATGACTACAAGACTAGCCTTCGATCTGCTTCCTGCATCCTTGCTGAAGCTATTCTTGTGTTGCTTTGCCTGCACACATTCCTCACATACCTCGTTTGGAATGTCAATTTCTGGCAATCCTGAAACCATATTTCTTCTCTTCAAATCTCTGATGTCTCTGAAGTTGAGATGACCTAGTCTATAGTGCCATATCCATTCATCTTTGCTAACTGCAGTCGAAAGGCACTTGTGCTCCATTACATTTAGTTCAATCTTGAAGGTTCGATTCTGAGACATAGGAGCCTTCAAGATTAATCTCCCATTTGCATCAATGACTCTCATCAACTTATCTTCGATTGACACTTTATAATTCTTTTCGACCAACTGCCCTATACTGAGCAAATTGCTCTTCGTGCCTGGTATGTACAATACATTTGAAATTAATGACTTCTTGTCATCTTTCCTCATGATCATAACATCACCAATACCTTCAGCTGCTAGGGTATTGTCATTTGCAAATTTTACCATATTTTTCATTGAGGGTTTTATATTGACAAACCAGTCTTTCCTTCCAGACATATGTGATGAACATCCTGAATCCAAGTACCATTGGTCCTTGAATCTATCTTCATCTCTTGTTGTGACCATCAGCATGATCTCTTCTTCTTCTTCTTCTTCATGTTTTGCAAGCTTTGCATCACTTTCTTGATTCTTTCGTTTTTCTGGACAATCACTCGAATAGTGACCATACTTCTGACAATTGTAACATTGAATGTGACTCTTATCAGGTTTTCGACCACCACCTCTTCCTCTATTTGCAACACCACCTCTTTGGTTGCCTTGGTATGGTCTTCTTTGATTCGACACATTTCCTTCAATCTGGTTTCCTCTACCATTCGATTTGTTGTAGCCACCTCTACCTCTGTCGAAACACTTTCCTTTGCCTTTGGTCTCTTTTGCTGAATGTGCCTGCAATGCCACATCACTCTTAGATTTTCTTG